TATATTTTCTACTAATGTTATTACCTAAAATAATATATTTTATTTCATTCGAAAAATAATACTCTCACAAGTAAAATATTCTTTTAAAAATGTTTAAGTTTTTTAAAAAGAAATATTTTATTCTGCAAGAAGTTATATTTTAAAAATAATGAAATATATTTTTATTAGTAATAATATTTTAATAAAATATTATTTAAGTAGTGTTCAATTTGATAGATATTTCTCAACTAAAAATTAAAATATTCAACAAAATATTTATGCAAATATTGTGAATTGTAATTTAATTTTGTTTTATATTATGTAAATCATTTTCACAATTTACTTCAAACTAAAGTTTGTTAAGCATATAATAGTTACTAACAGTACACTATTATATTTGTCTTAAGTAATCTACCATTTTACATATTATTTGAGATATATTATTTTCAGAAATATTAAGTATCACTTTTTCAATTATTTTATCTATACTTCTTATTTATGTAGAAACATTTTTTTTTTCTCATTTGCAAAGTATTTTAGTGTGTGTGATAATAGTTGGCAAATTGTCCTGATATGTGGAAAAATGCTTCTCCTAATTTTTTTTCATAACATCATTCATTCAAATATAAAAGTGTATTATAAATAATAATTAACAGACAATAAAAATATAATTATATAATTTTACGTTAAAAATAACAATACTAACACTGATCAGTTTATATTTTTTTTTTGTATGTTTTCTAAAACAATATAAATTTGTTTGCAACGAAATAAACACGTCTTCTGTTAAAAATCAATATATATGTAATATTTAACTCTCTCTTTCTCTCTCTCTCTCTCTCTCTCTATATATATATATATAAATATTACCTCAAGCTCTATATCCGTTTCATTTTATTCCTCATTTGTGTTTAATTGTTGAGTTGGAACTTTAGATCGACACAATTGTTCAACGGTCATATTACCTAAAGGAACATTTTTTTCTTACATTTCAAATTTTTTAAATCTTTATGAATATGTTGCTGTTCTTCAATGAAATTAAGTAAATATGTAGTATTGCAATCACATTTAAATGGATTTCCGCTTAAAGTAAATCTTCTGAAATTTTGTCGTTTGAAGAAGTCAATTACTGATTTATCCAATCTTGATAATTTATTATTATGTAATTCTAGTACCTAAAAAAAAAAAAATGAAAAAGAAAAGGAAAAATTTGATAACATATCTCTAATGAATGAAAGGAAAAAATAATAAAATAATAAATTACTTACATTGAGCTTTTCTGGTAAAGTGTCTGCCGATAATTGAAATATCTTGTTATTAGATAAATATAATCTTTCTATAGCTGCCATTTCTAAAGGTTTAAATGAATCTATTTTCCTTAAATTATTCCATCTAAGATCCACTATTAATGTATGTATTCCAACAAGATAAATTTTGTCCATGTCGGGTTTGAATACAAATAGATTTTTGTGCGAACAATCTAAAACTCGTCTCAGGTCACGAGGTCTTACATGACAAGTACACTTATATTGACAGTTATCTGGAAGTTTAAAGTATTGAGTCTCTAGACATTTGTAGGTTTTAAAATTCAGCTGATCAATTTGTGGCCCTTCTGTTCCATTAGGTTGAAGACACCTTAAATTTCCCAATCTAAGTTTGACGAAATTATAAGCAGTATAGGGCATATCTTTGTTAACATAACGCACAAGGTCATATAGGTCACAATCGCATAATACAGGATTGTTTTCAACGTAAACAATAATGTTACTTTCCTTTTTATTATGGTATGAGTACTTATCAATTTCATTTAACAAAATATGACGTATTTTGTTATATCTCAGATCGACAACAATATCGTCCGATGCAAAAATTAAATTAACTGCCTATAAAATAAAAACAAATTTATTTTTTCAATCATTTCAATAATAATATTTTTAATACAACACATGGGCTGAAAAGTCTCGGACTTAACAAAGAAAACACGATTTTTTTATCGTTCAAAATTGGCTTTATTCCTCAATATAATCTCCATCAAGAGCAACACAATCATTCCAGGGCCGCTCTAACATTTCAATATCACTTTTGTAGAACGATTTAATCTTTTGCCTCAAAATAGGACTCAATTTCAACGATAACCTTTTCATCAGTGCTGAAAATTTTTCCATTCTTTTGAGATCTGTAAACAGGAAAGTCACTGAAGGCCAGATCTGGAGAATATGGTAGATGGGTAAGCAATTCGAAGCCCAATTCATACAACTTTGTTATCGTTTTTTTGATCGATTGTATGCACGTGCGGCATCCACTGTGCACACAACTTTCGCATGTCCAAGTATTCATGTATTATATATCCTACATGTTCCTTTGATATCTTTAAAATCTCAGTTAACTCAATCAACTTTACTTTACAGTCATTCAAAATTATTTTGTGTACTTTCTTAATGTTTTCGGTCGTCCATTATCTTCGACGTTCATTTCACCTTGTTTAAACTTAGCAAACCACTTCTCAACGGTTGATTTTCCTGATGCAGAGTCCAAATAATGTTGATCAAGCCAAGCCTTAGCTTAAACAGTATTTTTTGTTTTCAATAAAAAGCAATGTTTTATTAACACACGAAAATCTATGTTTCTTCTGCATTTTTTTGAAAATAACAAATGCTGCTTCACTCAAAATGTTACATCTCACGAACCAATTATTCGACAGTTGAGAAATTTATACAAATATCTTTTGAAGGTTAAATACTAACAAAAAAAATCATATGAATTTAATCCTAGTAAAGCCATATATGTGTGAGGTCCTGTAACTTTTCAGCCCATGGTGTGTTATTTATTGATAGTAAAATTTAATATTTACCGATATTTTACTTATGTCGTTGTGACTCAGATTTAATAATTGTAAAGTTCGTTGACCAAGATTAAAATCCCAAAGAAAATCTTTTATTTGATTGTTCGCCAAATGCAATTCCGTAAGATGAAAATTTTCACAAAATGGTGATGACTTTGAATGTGCATAATTAAACTGTAGCTGATTATTTGAGAACTTAGCAATGGATAATTCTATATTGGTTTTAAAAGCATCGTTATTGATATATTTCAAGCCATTTCCTTCCATGTTAAGTTCTTTTAACAATTTCAAACCATTAAACAAATATCTATAAAAAAAAAATATTTATATTTAAAAAACAATATTTGGTGTACACTTATTAATTTGTAAAATAAATCTTGTATAAATTGTAGAATAATTTTACCTTTGTACATAATCAATACGATTAAAAGACAAATCGAGATTAGTTACATTTGTTACATATCTAAAAATTAAATCAGGAAGTCTCTCAATCATATTGTAACGTATTGAGAGTTTTTTAACGTTTTGTAGATCTCGGAAGATAAGTTCGGGTATTTCTTGAAGAAAATTCTCACTCAAATCGATGTATTTTAAAGATGTTGAACCCCGAAAAAGATTCACTGGTAGACTCTTCAATCCATTATTTCTCAATTGAACTTCTTCAAGATTTGTTAATTGCATAAAAAGTTTATCCGGCAACGTTGTTAATTCTCCTTTATTATTGTTTAACAATACTTTTTTCAATTTTTTATTTTGACTAAACAATTCTGGTGAAAACTCATTGAAAGTATTATTTGACAAATCAATTGTTTCTAACTTCATTAAACCAAAAAATAGATAATCCTGTAAATTCGTCAACAAGTTTGATCCTAAGTTTAAATATTTTAATGTCTTTAATCTTTCAAATGTTGGATCATGAAATACTTCCATTGACATTCTTTCAAGATTTAGAATTTCTATACGCTTTAATTTAGTAAACAAATAAGCTGGTAGCTGTTTTATTTCAATTCCACTTAAATCAAGTTCCTTCAGATTTAAAGTTTCATTAAAAATATCTTTATATAAAACAAGAGGATTTTCAGATAAATCAAGGGATTCCAAATAAGGAAAACTGTTAAACCAATCAGGTGATATCTCATTTAAACCATTATGAGATAAAATCAATTTGGACACATTTGGAAATCCTTGAAGATGCTCTTTTTTTAGTGCATTACTCAGATCGTTGTAAGATTGAAAGCTTACTCCATTTGTTTCTTTAATTCCAAACATTTGGACAATTTGTTTCAATGTAAATTCTCTTGGTAATTTGCAATTTTTAAATTCCACCAAATCGATTAGATCTTCAAAATTTATTCTCTTAATATCAAATTCATCCCAATCAAGATTGTTACAATCAAGCTGTCGAATTTTAATTTAATATATATTTAATAAAAAAAAAAAAATAAATAAAAATATTATTTATTTATTAAATCACATATATATATATAACACATCATGTCTAGAATTAAGCTTTTTAATTTGAAACTTTTTTTTGTATAGTTTAAATTGAAATGTTACTAAATATATATATATATATATATATATACCTGTAAATCTACCCATGATTTCACTTTTATTCCAAAATCTACATCTTTGTCAGAAATGTTAATAAACTTTATCTCTCCAGTTATATTTGTCGAACATTGACAATTTTGAATCTTGCCGCATGTTGTAGGATTATAAGCATAAGTTGTTGTGAAGATAAGACAAAATATGACTGCTATTGTAGTAGCCATTTTTTTATTTCCAGACCACTTCAATAGAAAATATAATTAAAGTAACTTTTAAGAGGAACGTTATACTATAATAATTATAAAACAATTTCATATTAAATTTCTTTAAGATATGTGAATTTGTTTTTCTTTTATATTTGTACGTTTTTATAAACTTACCTGAGATCATTAAATAAAAAATTCAAGGGTTGAACAATTTTGTTAAACTGCCAATACTATGATACTGCTTTTGCTTCTTGTCTTCAATGATTCTATTATTTATTAGATTATTCCATTCCTTTGATAATAATTAATAAACCACAATTATGTTTCAAGTTATATGAGCTTTTGAATTAAAAAAAAAAAAAAAAAGACAGAATATCAATTACAGTGAAAAAAAAAATTGAAGATTTAAATACAAAGTAAGAAACAAAAGAAGCTTCGTTAACATTACAAACTATGTAATATAAAATTTCAGAATAATTTGAATAATGATCAAGTGAAGATTAAATTGAATAAAAATAAATGAAAGTATCTGAGAGTATTGAAATGACAAGAAACATACACAGTTAAATTAAAACACACTTATTATAATTCAATTTAAATACAAATACAGTCTTTTTGTTCTTTTCAATTCAAAAATGTTAGGTCAATGTAACGATTTTACAAACACTTACTCACTTCTTTGTAAACACGATGAACATTAGAGAATTAAGGAATGAATTTTGACTAATATAGGTTTGTAAACGTTTGAGAAAAACCTAACCTAACGAATTTACCTGTTAGATACAAATCCCTGTTCATTGGTCCGCAACTTGTAAACAACTTTCTAATAGAAAATCAAATATATTTCGGTCGGAATGTGTGACACAGTATACAAATATTCCTTAATAGCAGAAAATATTGAAAAATATTGAATTTGGCCTTTGGGGATGCATGCCCGTCTCCTGTATACGGTGGTGCCATGGCGACAAACGTGTTAAAGGGTTTTTTTTTTGAAAATAATTACAGGATTTTAATTAATCAAAACTTTTATGTATTAATATGTTTTCCAAAATCCATACAAATTTTTTAATAATAATATAATTTAACGTAAGACACACATTAGAACTTTTGACAAAATATTAATTAATTTTGATATATGATATAAAAAATTCTTAAAAAATATCGATGTTTACAGCTACTTATAATGTTGTATTACATAATAAATAGTAAATAAATAACTTGATTTTTGTCATACATTTATACATTATAATAATAATAAAAAAACATATCTTATATGTTCATAAAGTGATCGATATTTCTGAAAATAATATATATTATATTTTGATATATTTTATTTCTTTCAAAAAATAAAACTCTTTAGAATAAAATATTTCAATTGTTGAAAATATTAAAAATTTTTTAAAATAAATATTTTATTCTTCGAGAAGTTATATTTATTGTATTTAAAAAAAAAAATAAAATAAAATATATTTTATTAGTATTTATAAATTATTTGATATAATATTTAAAATATGTTTTTTTTTTATTTGAAGGATAATTTTCTCTATCAAAACCTAAAATATTTAACAAGATATACAAATATTGTGAATTTTAATTTAATTTCTTTTTTCTTTTTTTTCTTTTGAATTTGATATTATTTGTAAAATAAAAATATTAATTTAAATTGTAAAAAAAGAAAAAAAATCATCTATTTAAAATAGTTGTTTTTTTTTTCGAAATATTATTTTCAGAAATATATCTTAATTCATCTTGAACTATATTTAATCTCAATTTATTATTTATACAGAAATCTTTCCTTTTTTTTTCTCTCTCTTCCATTATTTAAAAAAAAAGAAATAATATTACCTTCATATCAAAGATAATAGTTGAAACAAACAAACAAAAAAAATACTTTTACTATCGTTGTTCCTAACACATCGTCAATTTTAATATAAAACTATAATAATATTATAAATATATAACAATTAAAACATAATAATATTATGCTAATTGAATTTTACATTAAAAATGACAATATTTAACATTAATCCTCTTTATATTGTTTTAGTATATTTACTAAAATAATATAAACATGATTGCAATGAAAAAAAAAAACAAAATGTCTTCCGATAACAAAAATTACTATACTCGTAATATTTAAACTCTACGTATATTCTATCCTAACCTCTACGTTCGTTTCATTTGTATTTCACATTTTTTTTTTTTAAACAAACTTTTAATATGAATTCTTTTCCGAACACAATTGACTAACGGTCATTCTAACTAAAGGAATACTTTTGTCCTTACATTTGACATTTTCTAAATCTATATGAAAAAATCGTTTTTTCTGAAGTAATCTAAGTAAAAAGTTAGTTTCACAATCACATATAAATGGATTCCCACTTAAAGTAAGTTCTTTGAAAGTTGTAACTTTCCAATTTCTTATTACAATTGCATCAATTCTTGCTATATTATTATTATGTAATTCTAATACCTAAAAACGTTAAAAGAAGATAAAAAATAAAAAGAATAAATGATGAAATAACCTTAAGGGGTGTGGGGTAAGGTTAATTCGTAGAAAAAAAAGGCATGTTTTTGTGAATTTTTGATGACGATACAGTTAAAATTTCTTTATTAAAACCAATGGTACATTGAAGTATGACATTCGAAGAATATTGTATAAAATTTTCACGAAGAAATATTTAAAAATACGACAATGGCGGCAATTATTTGGAAAACGTGTCTCTCAGGATAAAAGTACAATTGCGGTGCCCCTTATAAGCCGATTTTTTATCGCAAAAAATCGCGTTTTTCCCATCAAAGTGTTCTAAAAAAGTGCAAAAATTGAAATTTCGAAAAAACCCTCCCAAAGTTACCTGGGGAAAACTATTATCTAACGAATGAACCTCAATTTTTTGATGTCAAATGATCCAGCACCAAGTTATAAGAGGCACTGCATTTCTACTTTTTTCCTGAGACACGTTTTCCGAATAATTGCTGCCATTGCCATATTTTTAAATATATTTTCGTGAAAATTTTATACAATATTCTTCGAATGTCATACTTTAATGTACCATTGGTTTAAATAAAGAAATTTTAACTGTATCGTCACCAAAAATTCACAAAAACATGCCTTGTTTTTCTACCAATTAACCTTACCCCACACCCCTCTTAATGAAAATACTTGAAAAAAAAAAAAAGTAAAAATAATAAAATAAAAATAAACGTACTTTGAGATCCTTTGGTAATCTTTCATATGATATTTTAGAAATATTGTTATTAGATAACAATAATGATATTACGTTAACAAAATGTAAATCTTGAATTATTGGCAATTCTTTTAATCGATTTCCGGTTAAATTTACTATTAAAGGATATCTGTCACCAAAACTCTTAGTATCTTTATAGATCGTGAATCTTTCCATATTTTTATTAGAACAATCAAAAATACGAACTTTATCATCCATTCTAATTCCACAAGTGCAATTAATTGGACAATACATTTTCGTGGAAAAGTATTCATCCTCGGAACATTGATAGGTTTTATAATCAATCTCTTTAATTTTGGGCCCTTTCGTTCCATTCTTATAAAGACACGCTAAATCTCCCTCTTTTAATTCAATATAATTATAAACCGAAATGGGATAACCATCTTGACAATAACGCAAAAAATCATACAAAAAACAATCGCATGATATTGGATTGTGTTCTACGTCAACAATAACGTCACGTTCCTTGGTATGATGCATTGCTAATCTTGTCAAGTCATTCAGAAAAATAGTTTCTATTAAGTTATATCTCAAATCGACTACAACACTATCTGATGAAAAAAATAAATCTTTTATCTATAAAAAAAAAACAAATATCAAATTCAAATAAAACATATATATATATATTTAAAATAAAATATGGATAATAAAATTAGATATTTACCACTAATATATTTATTCTGTTGTTACTCAAATCTAAAATTCTTAAGTCATTTGAAGTAATCGCCCAATCGGGAAAAAAATTACATATTTGATTGTTCGACAAATACAAATGTTTAATAAGAGAGTTATTGTAAAATGGAGAAGGATGATTGTTTGGTGAACCAAACTCTAACATATTATTAGAAAACTTAGCAGTTCTTAGATTTACAAGTTTAGATAAAGCTTCTGGATCAATATATGTTAATTGATTATAATCCATGTTTATTACTTGCAAAGATGTCAAACCATCTAATAGATTTCTGTAAAAATATTCATATTTGACAAAAATGAATTGATTACAAATAAATACTTTGTTTAAATTTCATTGTTTTTGATGTACCTTCGTACTTCCATAAGTTTATTCTGAGCCAAATTGAGTACTTTTAATTGTTCCAAATCTTGAAAAACTCCATCAGGTAGAAATAATAGATTGTTGTTTTGTAAATTAAGTTCTTTGACTTTGGATAAATTTTTGAAGAAATTCAGTGGTATAGTATCGAGTAAATTATTACTGAAATAAATTTTTTCTAAATTTACTGAACCCCAAAATAGATTTTCTGGTAATCTTCTCATTCCATTTTTGATTAAATAAACTGTATTGAGATTTAATAAATTTCCTAAAAAGTAATCTGGCAATTGTAATAATTTCATTTTATTATCATTCATTATTACTTGTTTCAAATATTGATTTTTTTCAAATAAATTTGATGGAAAATCGATGAAATTATTACTGGACAAATCAATTATCTCTAAATTGATTAAACTGTGAAAAATTAATTGCGGTAATTCTGATAATGAATTGAATGATAAAATCAAATATCTTAAAAACGGTTGATTCATAAATATTTGTTCATTAAGTTCTTCCAATGTATTTCCCAAAAGATTTAAATATTCTAAATTCTCCAAAGTATCAAATATTCCAATGCCAAGCACTGTTAATTCATTTTTAGATAAATCAAGATACGTCAATTTGGAAAGTTCATCCAAACAATGAGCTGGTATATCATTTAAACTGTTATCGGACAAAACTAATTTTGTCATATTTGAAAATCCTTGAAAATGTTCTTTATTCAATGTTAAATCAAGATCTTTGAAAGATCGAAAGATGAGTGTCTTTGTTGTTTCAATTCCAAAATTTTCCATCGCATCTTTTAATGAAGTTTCAGTTGGTAATGGACAATGTGTAAATTCCAACAAATCGAGTTGTTTATGGAATTGTTTGGTCGTGACGTTTAAGTTTTGCCATTCTTGCATATCTTTACATACAATCTAGTAAATTTGTTATTTTATTTATTTATTTATTTATAGAAAAAAAATATGATGTTGTTTATTTAACCCTTTAAAGTGCACATGGGGTGTTTGACATCCCAAAGTCAAATTTTTGATCTCTCGAAAATGGTACTGAATTCGAAAAAATGGATACTGCCATCTAGTGTTAATTGAGATGAGTATAAAACCTATTCTATTTTTTTTAACTACTTTTACAAAAATTCCGAGATTTAAATATTAAATAGCTGCTTCAGGAGATGCGTTCGAACACGTTGGGGTGTCAAACATCCACAATGCACTTTAACTAACTTTTACCAAGTGTGCACTTTAAGGATTAATTAATCAAGTATAATATAACATACCCTAGTAGCACAAAATATTGAAAAATATTTAATACATGTGTATTTAATATTAAAAAAAAAGATTAAATGTCTTTTCAATTATTAAATACCCATGTATTCAATATTTGTCAATATTTTGTGTTGCTAGAAATGTTTGGAATAAGATTTGGAAATTTGTGAATATTATTACAAATATAAATTCTATCAGAATGAAATTTCTATTGAACTGAATATGAATAATGAATTAAAAAAAAAAAAAAAAACTATTGAATATAAATACCTGTAAATCTGCCAATGATTTAACTTTTATGCGAAACCTTAGCCCTTTCAGATCAGTGTGCATAACTTTTATATCGTCAATATCATATGACAAACATCTACAAAATTGATTATACATGCATGGAGGATCAAAAGCGTATGTTGTTGTGAAGATAAGAAAAAATATTGATAAAATTGTATTGGCCATTGTTTGTCAGCAGTCGACTAGAAAATAAATAAAAAATATCATGTAGGCAGATCACACGTGTTAGAAGTGAAACCTTCGAAAAACTAAGTTTCGAGAGAAAGAGACGACTGCAGAATATCAGGAGTAGGATAATTATTGGGTTTATTTGTTATAATATTATTATTATATTATTGTTAATACATTCAAAAATAATTATACGTTTTATTGAAAACATATATAAATAGATAACATATTACACAGTAAGCAAGTTCTCAATTCAAAGAAATGAAACGAGTTGCTTCTAGTAACTTAAAAATGCATGAAAAAAAAAACCACTGTTAGTCTAGTAAAAACCTCACTACTTTTCGGAAAGAACCTGGGAAAAAGTACAAATAATATTATTTGTATTTCCTCGAAAGTTGTTTATTTGAAGGTTTCACTTCTAACTTGTATGATATGTACACATGTTTTTCTTGTTTGCTTATGTTTTTGTACTTACCTAAGATCATTGATGAAAAATTCAATGGTTGAACAATTTTGTTAAACTGCCAATACTATAATGAAGTTTCTACTCCTTGTCTCCTTGCTCTTGTTATGAACTTTTGAATTAAAAAAAAAAAAAAAGACAAAAAGATTATATTTTCAATTATGGTGAAAAGAAATTGAAGATTTAAATACAAAGTGAGAAACAAGAAAAGCTTCGTTAAAGTTACAAGCCAATAGAAAATTTCATAATAGTTTAAATAATGATCAACTGAAGATTAAATTGAATTAAAATAAATAAAAGTATCTTACTATTGGAATCTTAAGAAACATACACAGTTAAATTAAAACAATCTTACTATATAATTAAATNTTAAAGATAGATTCTGGTAATCTTGTAATATAATTCCAACTCAAATCGATATATTTTAAAGATGTTGAATACCAGAAAAGGTTTTCTGGTATACTCTCCAAATGACTTCTTCTTAATTCAACCTCCTCAAGATTTTYTTTATCATTTAAAAATTTACTCGGCAATRTTTTTAATTCTYCTYTATTACCATTTAWCAATACTTTCTTTAATTTTTTATTYTYACTAAACAAATTTGATCGAAAACTCTTGAAATAATTATCGGACAAATCAATTGTTTCTAAATTCTGTAAATTAGATAAAAWAAATTCTGGTAAATCAGACAAAAARTTTGTTCTTAGGTTTAAATATTTTAATGACGTTAGTTCYTTAAATRTTTCAMCATCAAGGTCWTYCAATAAATTTCTTTCAAGATCTAGAATTTCTAAATWWTTTAAATTATCAAATAATTTAGGGGGRAGCTGTSTTATATCATTTCCAYTTAAATYAAGTTGCTTAAGATWCAMAGTTTYATTAAAAGTATCTTTGCTCAAAACAARAGTATTATYAGATAAATCAAGAAACTCCAATTYAGAAAAATTGCTAAACAAATCAGATGATATATTAGTTAAACTATTATAGGATAAAACTAATTTAATCAAATCTTCAAATCCTTCAAGATCCTCTCTTTTAAGTTCTGTACTGAGCTCGCTATAAGATTGAAAGCTTAGTCCATTTGTTTCTTTAATTCCAAATCTTTCGACAATTTGTTTTAATGTAAATTCTCTTGGTAAATRGCAATTTTTAAACTTYACYAAATCGACTACATCTGCGAATTCTYTTCTYAYAATATKTAWTTCATTCCAACCAAGATTATTACAATCGACCTGTTGAATTTTAATTTAATATATTTAAAGAAAATAACAAAATTTTAATTATCAAATCGCATATAGCATATCATGTCTAGAATTCAGCGTTTAATTTCAAGACTTTTTTTATATCTGAATAAAATCAATTGCAATATAAATTCTGTCAGAATAAGATTTGTATTTAACTGAATATAAAAAGATTGAAAAGCTACTAAGTATATATACCTGTAAATTTGACCATGTT